CAAATGATTTATGTGGGATAGGGGGTACTCCTGCTGTTGTTGTACAGGACACCCTTCGGTTTCTTACCATGTTAGAGGACCAAGGGGTGCATCCAAGTCATCTCGTAATCCTGTCTGTGATTAGGAGGTCTCGTATTGACCGACCAGGACAAGTTTCAGTTACCACATTTAATCACAGGGTCAAACGATACAACGCCCTTTTGAACAAAGAGCTTGGGAAGCATCACCCAACGGTAAAGATGTACCATCAGCGAAAAACGAATCATCCTCAGTATATTTCAGGAGATGGGTGTCATCTCACAGACGAAGGCCTCATTAGATATGGCAAGGGCCTCCGAGAGGTAATTTTCAGCTGCAAAGTTTAGACCCTTAATTATATGTGGTGTGTGCCACTGATAGCTTGTTATACATGCAATTGCTCTACTTAGGTTAAGTGGTGCTTGTTCTTCGGTCAATGCTGAAGATTAAGGGGTCTTTATTACCCTGCACCTTTAGACAAGTAATTATGGTTTAGTATTTAAATATTGTCCATCAAAGAGAATGATGTACATTGTTAAAAGTTGAGTTGTGTAGATCAGCAGCGAAGTAGCTGTATACAGTATGTTGATATAGGAGGAGAGGATTTCCTTGATATTTAAACTTTTGTTTTATATATAAACATGTTTATGTACTTTTATGATACCTTGTAATTGTTGACATCAAGACATGACAAGGGTCTTAAAGAGAATATTCTGTTGAAGTAGTATATAATGCCAACTGACAACCAGATTAGCGAAATGTATTTAGTGATGTGTCTTTCACTTCAGGTTGAAACATCAGCAAAACAAAATGTAATTTTTGGGGTGTTTAATGCAAACATTCACTCCCTGTCAAATGACTTTGAAATCGATTTTTCTGGTTGGTTCAGTGGTTTTGCATATATCTTTTGGTTGTAGTCATCCCTTAATATTAAGTCGAAAGAAACGGATGTTTACTCTAATTTTATAACGCCAGCTTTATTTACATTGGTTTACCTCTGTAAATTGCAACGATTATACAGTTGTTACAATGTATTAAACGTGAATCAAGTTGTGGACAATTATAAATCTGCTGGAAATTGGTATGAGAGTTAAACTGGAGGAAGCTCAATGAAACTTAATTAAACCAAGTTTAATGGTTTTCAGAAAGTCTGTTAAGTGAATTTCAGATCATGCCAAGTTTTGACATGAAAAACTAATGGCTGATGTCATTTCCGCTGAAGAAAAAACGGCTGGGGTCTCAGGAAGCTAAACCAGCTTAAGTAAATTAGAACTGGGACATCTATCTGAAAAAAAATATTGTATTTTATTTACATTTTTATGCCTAGCTATAGTTTCAGTTTGCAACTGTGTTGTTGAAGTTAATATAAAATGTTAGCCTTGGTATAAAAGTCTGTTTTCCCAAGAGAAGGAAAATGATTGTTTACATGTGTGAATATCTAATATGATGATTTCCTGTGAAATAATTTCTGGAATGAAAAGTAGGCTGAAACCATTCGAGGCCGCATGGTTCGAAAAACAGGGAAAGTGTGGGAGAACGGGGTATTTTCCCCTTTAATGCATTGGATTGTGTAGACTTCTTCGAGTTGTGTCCATACTTACATGAAGTCCCTTTAATGTTAAGCACTGTATCTGGGCAGATGCCAATTAACCCATGTAAACAACTGTATCCATTCTCAACCATTGGAATATAGTGCTTGCATTTGCAAGCTTTGGAAAACATTTTGCTTATCAAATGGGAAATTCAGCTTTACATAATTGATTAATAATTCTGTTTGAATAGTTTATGGGGCATATTATAACTTTGGTTAATTAAAATAAACACTTAATAAGTGCGGAGTGATAAGTCCGCCCAGCTAGTACGAGTGTGTAACAACTTTTCAGGGTTCTCACTCTCTCTGCTTTTCGCTGTCGATGGGCTAAAAAGACGTGGAAGGTTGCTGAAAATTGGAAGCCAAATTCTTCTTTTTGGGAGATGATAGGCATCCCGACAGGATGCCAGAAGTAAGTTTATTGTTTATTCCTTCCGATGAGGGAACTTTAAGCTGAATGGCTTGATGATTTAAGCTGGAAAATGTGTGCTTTTGGGGGTGTACGAATGGCTGTTTTTCGTAAATAATAGTGCGTATCGTACACGTGCAACCAACTCGGCCCTATATTGTTTATTGCAGTAGGCGGCTGTGAGTGAGAGCAGTCTGGCTTGGGGGTTTTAATTTTCTGCAATACTGATGTTTCTACCATGTGCCAATGTTAATTGATGATCAATGAAGATGAACCAAGATAATTAAATGAGGAGATAATCAAGTACAAGATCAGTGAGTGCAGTCCAGAGTTGTTATTCCATCCCAAGGGTACACACCCTCAACCCCGAGGTGGAGTCCACACCCCCTCCCTGATAGGAGACAACCAGTTCCTATTCCATGACATTAATAAGAAGGAAGTGATGTCAATGTGGTTGATGTTATACAGTCAGAATCAAAACTTGTGTCACCGACACTGAAATAGCCGCATCTTATTGGTGGATATGGATGTCGGTGACACGTACATCTAAAAACACACGATTTGTGATTGACACATACAACCTGTCAATCACAAACCACTCACTGGTGATCACCGACTTGTTGGGTGATTTACTTTGATTGGTGGATTGAAAATTGACGTACACTGGCCGTGATTCATTAAATGTGCAGTTTGCACTTCAGTCCATTGAATTGTTTCGATTTATTTAGGATTGCATGAGGAATTAAATCGTAGTCAAGATGGCGGCCAAAGTAGATTTAACTGAAATCTGGGAGCGCGTGGGTGCATTATATGGATGCACTTAACTCAGATGAAACGTACTATTATACAACAGTGCATTTAGTTCAAGTCAGGATCTCAAATTGGAGCACAAGGGAAGAGGAGAGGGGCTAAGGTCTTCCACTGGCGGGGGGGGGGAGGCAGTGAGGGGGGAAGGGGAAAGAAGGGGGAGGTGGAAGCAGTGAGGTGGGAAGGGGGAGAAGGGGGAAGGGGGATGAAAGGGGGAGAGGGAAGGGGAAGGGGGGCTCATGTACCCCGTGTCTATAGTTGTGGCCATTTGTAAGGCATTGCTATTTATTATTGGGGATTTTTAAAGACTAAGATACATTAGATACAAGTTGGAAGAAAGTTAAGTGAACTTCTATGAACTTTGCTGTCAGCCTTGTCTCATATTTCGGCAGCCTTGTATTGTTGGATTGGCGTTTTTAGAATTGTGTAAACCCCAGTCCGAATGAACATTCCCAGAAATGCAGGAATGTATAAAGTGCTATGATGGACCTACAAAGCACAATTAATTAGTTAAACTAGTGACACAGTTCAACAATAGAACGTAAAATAAATTAAGATAAATATCCCCCCAAATAAAAAAAGATAGGCATGTATTGCATGACCAGATTTCCTGTGTTTGTTATTTTATGGCTTCCGCATAACGAGTCATCCTGAACTTTAGCCTTGGTGATATCCGGACAAATTAATCACACCAGAAGGTGTCATTCTGTTTGTTTAATCATCTCGACATCTAATAATCTCTTAAGCAATGGCGTAGCGCCGATATAAGTGTGGGGTGCGGTCATTGAACGACCACAAGCCCCCTCCCTCCTCCTCCCAAACCCGGTGAAAAAAGCCACTGATGTGTTTAGGGGCTTAACATAAATGGCTATGTTCCGAAGCCGGAGACAAAGCCTAAACTTACAAAACGCCCGAAGTTAAATTAAGGCCTACTGTAGTAAGGTGTTTCCCAAACTGCGGCTTCGTTCCGTTTTCGGCTGCAGGCATGCGGTTTTGCAATGGAGCTGCAGCTCTATATATGGAATGAAGCCGGGACATGGTAAAACCCGCAAGTCACTTTCTCGGCGTGTGCATTATAGTCTCCGATCAAAACGCCTTGCTGTTTCGCCTCTCGGTCATATACCGGTGAGAGTCAGGTTGACCTTGTGAAAAGGCTACAGTTAGGCCATTATTTTGATCAGCAGAGTTAATTCCTTGTTATTATTTGGGGAACCGTCAACTTGGAACTGGTGAAGATCTGGGGATGGAGAGGATGTCGAGTGGAAATGGACGCCACGTAGCTATTGAGGGCACTGTTCTAGAATATAATGTTCTAGCATACACGCGTGCGTTGATTGTTAATACTTCAAAAAAAAAAGTTGATACAAAATTGCAAACATAAACAAAACAATATGTTTATGGTTGTCAGATAAGAGAAACAGTAAATAAATACAGTAATGTATTAGCAATACTAAATGTGAATATGAGAGGTGCAGATAATTAAATGTTAATAGTCAATGACGAAAATATAGAATAATAACGGAATTAATGTGTGCTTGCGAGGTGTTAAACACTATGTTAAAGACTGATCGGAGCCTGGAATGCTGATAATTACCTAAGGCGAAGCAGAGGGCAATTTTCAGCATTCCAGCTGACTCCAACCAGTCTTAAACATAGTGTTTAATACCGACCTAGCACATATTTATTCCAATTCATCAATAACTTTTCGTTCAAAAAATTTCAAAACTCGTTCGCCCACAGGTGGGCTCGAGTATGGCTTTTTCACTTAATTCTGTCCCGCACGAGGGGGGCCAGTTCGTCTGTCGATTCTACACCGGTGTCCTTTTGCAACACCTCGGTGTAAGATATTTTTGGTGTTCCTCGCCTCCTGTATCCTTGGGTTGGTTTCCAGAGAATGACTTTGTGTGCCTCCAGCTCCGAGTGCCGGTAACAGTGACCTGCTAACTGCATCCGACGGGCTGCGATTTTGTCTCCGACTCCATCGTAGGAGTTAGAGTCCATGTTTCACATCCATATAGTAGCACTGATCGATGGTTGCCAAGAAGAAATAGATTTCTACGTTGCGGCTAATGGTGGAACTCCACACTTTCTTCATGTCAGCCAGTGCCCTCCATGACATTCCTGATATTGATGTCTTGGTCACTAGAGTTGATCCACGCGCCAATGTACTTAAAGTCAGGGAACCCCATTCAGCTCTCTACCCTTCAGCGTCTTCAGTGGGATGTGTTCGGGCGTGTTGTAGATGGAACACTCAGTTTTCTTTGTGTTGAGCCTGAGCCATACCTTCAAGCACTCTGCCTCTACAAGATGTAGGAGTACTTGCGCCTGCTCGACTAGATCAGACATCAACGCGATGTCATCAGCAAAGTCGAGATCCGTTTCTGTGACCGCTGGTTGCCTTTTCGATCTTCTCGGAGTGACAGTGAATCTGAGGTCGGTCTCCCTCCCATCGATGGTTCTACCCAAGGCATAGTCGAGAACAATGATAAAGAGGAATGGTGCTAGGGTGTCGCCTTGGAGCACTCCTGCTGTGGTGTCAAACCAGTCAGTCTCACCATCCGGAGTAGCCACCTTTTTAGCCAGTGTGTTGGCGTACTGTAACGAAACAGGGGTATATGTAGACTGATATCAAGTCTAGCCCAAGAAGCATCACGTCAACCTGCGTGTTAAAGCGCGTGATACTGTGGGGCAACCAATCAGCCTGCGCGTCCTGCATGTACGTTAGGCTTATGGGAATGTTTGGCTATGAATTATGCAGGCGTGTACCGCGTGATCGAGTGCATGAGAGCGCACGGCGACCAATCAGAAGCGTGCGTCCGGCATGGTCTGGGGCGATTGCCTCGTGGCCTGGCGTGGGTTCGGCACTCGTGGTAGAGAACTCGTGTTAGAGACCTCGGTGAGCTGAGCGTGTAAACAAGCCTGTTGCGACACTGCGAAGCAAAGTGCTGAATTCACCGTGTGAAGCGAGCGACGTCGTGGGAGAAAGCCCGGCGTGCACCCCGGTGCGATTGGTCAGTAAGGCTGCACTTCGTTGTTTACATCCCCCTGTGCATTTTAAGGTCTTATCGGATAAGATTTGGGGTGGATTGTTGTTAGGAAGTCGGGATTATTTAATATAGGGCCTGAGTTAAGATAATAGTCGGACCCAGAGTAAATCTGAAGGTTGGGGAAGAGTTAGGCTTAGTTCAGACTTAAGGATTGTCCTCCGTTGTTTGTACCTTTTGTCGTAGAAACGGTTGATTGCGACCCTGTAAAGTCTGTGAATCCTGAGTTTCCCGAAGGTTTACTGGGTTAACGTCAGGGGACTATTATTATCATCGGGTGGGTTATAACGTTACTAACTACCCCGTGTGTGTAATTCACTGGTCAAGCGAGTAGCAAGGACTGTGTTGTATTGTATAATTCTATTCTGTTATTGTAGACCTCATTAGAGTCATTTTGTGCTAAGTGAAAGAACACTAGCCCGTTATTTAAGTCGGTGGTGCAGACGACCACTTTATAAACTAGGGACCCCGAGAAGTATAGGTGAGGTATACCCAAGTGAGGTTTACCTTAAGTGAAGTACCCCGCTAAGCTGTGAGTTTATAATTGTGTAAGTTAATCATAAGGGAGTGCAGTTGACCCCTGTTGAACCAGACGATTGTAATTGTATAAGCTAAAGGGTGCAGTTGACCCAAGAGCCGTACGAAGATTATAACTGTATAAGCTAATGACAAGGGGTGCAGTTGACCCCTCAGCTAACAGCGAGGTTTACTAGTGCTTATTATCACAGCGAGGTTTACTAGATTATCACAGTGAGGTTAACTAGATTATCACAGAGAGGTTTACTAGATTATCACAGAGAGGTTTACCTGGATTTGTCTTAACGGTGAGGTTTATCATTGTATAATTATTGAATGGTGAAGCATTGACATTATATTTGAAGTGTGCTAAAGGAATAAACTAACTGATTAACGTCTTGGAATCACTTGTCCCCGTGAGGGTTATTGAGGTTCACTGTGAAGCTTATGTAGTCCCGCTCTCTGTTGGATATATCTGAATAAGTTAGTCCCCTCTTCTGTCAATAAAGTCAAGTACTTAATCGCAGATCAGTGGTATATTTCCGCCAAACGAACAGCCCCTAGGCTTAGTCCGCCGTTCGTTAACTATATCCCCCCTTGCGTCAGGGTAACCGCTCATCCTTGCGTGAGGTTAATAAATATTGTTGTGGGTTGAGGCCAGGTCCAGTTCCATCCTTCGATCAGGTCAGACTGTCGGGTCACGTACTTATTCCCGCCACAAAGGGTGTATAGCTCGTTTCGCCACAAATGGTGTCAGAAGTGGGATACTCTGTGATTTTGTTGTACTTGGATTTTGGCAATAAAGAAGAGATTTCGTGTTTGTTTGTTTATCCGTTTGTTGTGGGTGTACCTCACCGAGGTGCACAGTGAGGATTAATTGTAGCACCAGAGGTAGGGCCATACATGCTTACCTGGGTCGTTGCTGCTCTGTGTATTGTTTTTATTGTTGTGGTAAAAGTTGTAGTGTGGATTCTGTTGAGGATTTTGGCTGATGTGCGATCGTTGCGACATTCCGCAAGACAGCAGTTGCCAATCCTGTTGAGAATTCACCGGGTGGTAGTTGGTACGCTAGTAGTGGTAAAGTCTAGAGGTTTGGGACAAGTGGTCCCGCAACCTGAATTTGCCCGCGAGGTACCGTTATCGCCAAGTGGTCAGTGGCCTAGCGTTGCTAGTTTTGTGGGGACTTATTTTCCTAGTCAGGAGGAAACGTCAGTATGAGTAAGGACAACCATGTTGCCTCGTTAGAAGCTGGCAAGGATTCTGTCCTGGATGAGCTGAACCGCTCGAGAATGGAGGTTCAGTGGTTGAAGTGGGAGAGGGCTCGTCTCTCGGCAGAGTTAGAGGCTGTCAAGAAACGGGCACAGCCACAAGCTTTGGGCGAGGTTACTCCTAAGGCTGGGGAAAAACGTTTGGTTGAGGTAGATTCAGAGATAAGTTGGAAATTGCCTGAGGATACCTCCGGGTATGCCTCAAAGGCAATAGAGCGTTCCTGTGCGGGCATGTCACCTGAATTGGTACAGAGGGGAGCGAGGCACACTGAGAGTACACCTTTGAGGTTTATTCCCGAGCATAGTAATTGTACTAATCCCTTTCTGAACCGTGAGGTTGATTGCGCTGAAAAGGAACGAGGTTTACACAGTGAGTTACTGAGTTTTGCAACTCGTCCCACTGTGGAGAAGTCAAATGAGGTAGTAAGTGAGGTTGACTCGCCTGGAGTGGGCCCATGGCCACTAAAGAGGGAGTCGCGGTTGGTGGGTAATGAGGTGTGCGGTAAACCTCACGGTGGTGGGCCTCGCAGGCCTACAATTACCCCAGACCGGTACAATGGTAAGGTTCTCTGGAACGAGTATTACCGCCACTTTGAGGCGTGTAAACAGGTGAACCTGTGGAGTGAGGAGCAAGCACGCAAGTTTTTGGCTGCTAGTCTCCAGGGTGAGGCCCTCCGACTTCTCGGTGATGGGTCAAAGAAGTTCACGGGGAACTTATAAAGATGTTGGAAAAGAGGTTCGGTCCTGGTCGACAGGCCGAAAACTATTTGGTTGAGTTAAGGCACAGGCGTCAGGGGCCTAAGGAAACACTACAGGAGTTAGGCCAAGCAATACGTGATCTCACGTTGAAGGCCTACCCTGAGCTCCCTGACGAGGCACGAGAACGCCTTGGGAAAAATCATTTTGTAGATGCGGTAGCTAGTCAGGTAGTTAGGGAAGGTGTGTATCGTGATCGTCCGAAAACATTGGACGACGCGATACGTGCTGCCCTTGAGACAGAAAACTTTGAAAAGGTTGAGATCGGGAGAAGGGCCGAAGGTAAACCTGTGAGGTTTACAAGAGCAGTCGACTCTGACACAGAGAGGCGTCTTCTAAAGTTAGAAGAAAATGCCGGTCATCAGTCGAAGCAGATAGACCATGTGGTTGAACTTCTGACGGGGCTCACCAAGCGAGGTCTAGCCCAGGGCGAGCAGGCTAGTTTTCCTCAGAGGCTTTCACCCAAGCCTGAAAGGAGAAAGCCTGGTGCATTCAAGTGTTTCAAATGTGGGGAGGTTGGTCACTTCGCACGGGAGTGTACTAACCCTCGGAGGGAGAGAAAGGACCAGGGAAACGCCAGCCAGCCAACCGGTGGGCCCGCGGGCAGGCTGGACGTTTCCGAGGGTCCAAACCAACGACAGACAGAGCCAACCAGAGGCAGGGACCAGAAATCACAGGCAGAGAGCCGCTAGGCACTCGGCCTAATCGTGGTTCCCGGCCTAGGTATGGGCTGTTTGTTAACGGTGTTGTCAGGAGAGAGAAGTGCCGGTTCCTGGTTGATTCAGGGTCGACTGACACACTAGTTAGTGGTCGAGTCTACCATCGGATTGCAAAGGAACGGAGGCCAGTGCTGGAAGCAGATGAGTCCAGCATTCAACAAGTGGATGGTCGCCCCCTGGCTGTGATGGGCGCTGCCTGGGTGGACATACAGATTGGCAGAACCACCTACCCAGTGCGGGTGATTTTTGCCGATATCAAGTATGAGGGCATATTAGGAATGGATTTCTTGTTACCTACAGGCGGTAACTTAGATTTCCAAAACCTTGAGTTGTGGTTAAGGGGGGAACGGACGAAGTGCACAAGTGGTGCTGGAGAGCCGTTCGTTGGCCGAGATTCCGGCTGGCCATGAGGTTGTCGTGCCTGGTGTGGTAGTGACTACCTGTGAGGCCGGGGAACAATTGGCAATCATCGAGCCTGTAGAAGGTGGTGGCGAGTTGGCTCAGCGAGGCATACTTCTAGGCCGGTCGCTGGTGAAGCCAACTGCCGAGGGTCTTCCCTTACGGATATTCAATCCGGGTGAGGAGAGACGGGTTGTCCGGAAGGGGACAACCGTAGGTACAATTGCGGCAGTCGAAAGTGACGCCGTAGTCGTCCCTGATGAGGGTCATGCTGTAAGGTCTCTGGAGACCTGCCGAGTCACCTACGTGATATTTATGACCGTAGCAAGGTCAACCTCAGTGAGGAATATCTGGAAGAGGTGAGGTCTTGTCTCATTGAGTTCCAAGACGTGTTTTCCTGTGGTGACCACGACATAGGGCGTACTGATGTGGTGAAGCACCACATCAGTACGGGCGATGCTCGACCTATAAAAGAGAGGCCGAGGCGCCATCCCCTTTGTAACCAATAGGAAATCATGAGGCAAGTGGGTGATTTGCAGCAGAGAGGGATTATAGAACCATCTGATAGTCCCTGGGCTGCAAATGTGGTCCTTGTCCGAAAGAAGGACGGGACCAAGCGATTCTGTGTCGATTACAGAGGGTTGAACAGGGTAACAATTAAAGATGCGTACCCTGTTCCTCGTATCGACGAGACACTAGACGCTTTGTTGAGTGCCGAATGGTTTTCGACACTCGATTTGGCGTCTGGGTATTGGCAGGTCGACCTTGACGAGGACGCCAGCCAGAAATCAACCTTTGTGGTGCGGAACGGGTTATACAGGTGGCGTTGTATGCCTTTTGGGCTTTGCAACGCCCCTGCAACGTTTGAAAGGTTGATAGACAAGGTAATGGCGGGTCTCCAATGGGAGATTCTGCTGATTTACCTGGACGATGTCATAGTTTATGGCAAAACCGTGAGCGAGGGGATTGAACGGCTGCGGGTCGTTTTCTCCAGACTCAGACAAGCTGGTCTAA